GTATCCCCGCTTTGGAAACGGCTGTGTAAACCTGACACTGGAAGTGCAATCAGAATTGGGAAGGACCTCTCCGACCCATTCGATCCCAAACAAGGTTTCAGACAAGGTGATTTTATCATGTTATTTCTTCAATCCGACGCTTGAGAAAAAAATAAGAGCTGCAGAGCTAAATAGCGTTTAAATTGATATCATAGGCCTTAGTAACCGAGCCGTGTGTTCTGCTGTCTCCAGGCTTGATAGAGGTCTGGTAGTGAATGAGGGCAAGACGGAATCTCCTGTCATTAAATAAACAGACATCGCATTCGCGACTTGGCTCCCTCGTCGTATATAATTTCGCCTATCTAGGAACCAGCATCAACACCAATATTAATGTCAGCCTTGAGATCCAATGAAGAATCACTCTTGCCAACAGGTGCTACTTCGGACTGAGAAGGCAATTGGAAAGTAAAGTCCTCTCTCGGCAAACGAAAACCAAGTCGCTCATCATACCCGTCCCACTATATGGCGCAGGCGCGAAGACGATGCCAGCATCTGATAAGTCGGCCCTGGGAGTCTTCGAGAGAAAAGTTTTGTGAGCGAATCATGGAACGATGAGCTGTACGAGGTATATATATATATATATATCACCATCGATATAGTTCAGCGCTAGACTGCGCTGGCTAGGCCATGTCGTCTGAATGGAGAAAACCACTCCAGCTTCGAAAATATTCGATGCAGTGCCCGATGGTGGAAACAGAGGAAAAAGAAGCCGTTCATTCCGTTGGAGAGATCAGAAGGAGAGACCTGGTTTCACTTGATATTTCCCACTGGCACCAAACAGCGAAAACAAGAGATGAATGTAGTGCTATAACTGATTCGGCTATAATCGCGTAAGCGGTGCCAACGCCAATAAAGAAGAAGAAGGTTTACCCCAAAAACTATCAATAAATCAATCTGCACAATCTGCAGGATTAAGTTCAGAAACGACCTGTCTCCGTTTAGATGCTTTTAGGACTTATTGTACATCCGCAACATGATTTGCCATACACACTGCCCACCGGCTTGGTATTCCTTGCAACTACGTCAGCGTTATCATGGAGTCGGTCCACGCATACAGATTTTGGAATATGCGTTGTTGTTTTTTTTTTTTTTTTTTTGATAAAATGACCTCAATAATTTCGAAAAATTATAAATTTTTTTTATTAAGGCTTAGAAGAGGTAGAGATAAAAAGCTAGAACGATAATTGCCTCAGAGTTTATAAAGCGCGAATTATATACGAGCGTATTATTACATGCATTATATTGGTGACCCTGTTGGTTGGGGGGTTAGTGCTACCATGTGTAGGGTTACGGCCAGACCAGCATCCAAAAGTTATAGAAAATTAATTTTTCTGGTTGCGGTTGCCCATCGGCATTTTTAATTTATTTCTGACAACAAATAAAAACTTAGAATAAACAGTATGTTTCCGCATATCTTGAAAAACATACAGGCAGAACCTCTACTCAAACATATTTTTAACTGTAAACCTTGCGGTAAGTACCCATTTTGCAATACATATTTCAGTTATTCTGTATATTTTATAAATAAAAATTATATACCGAAATTCGTCTTTAATTTTTAAATGCCTATTCAACAAGCATATGTTTTATCGAGTGATTCTGCGTCAGATTTCCAAGCTGACATTTTTATTAGTGCTAAGGTTGGTCCCTAGATAAACAAAATCTTCTACAATTTCATGAGTGCCGAAAGCAAAGTGGTAACCAAGACCACTTGTTCAATGACAGGAACGGTTTTCTATTCAAGCTATTTAAACTAAACTGCTTTCGGAAAGCTCATGGGTTCGGGCAAGAACTCGAATCCATGACCTTCTATATGGTAAAAATCACTATCAACCCATCAGTTATTGAGGCCATCAATAATATTCAAATATTTTATACTCGCTCAAATAAATTATTAACTAAAATTGTGTAAAAACAATCCAAATGTAATGATATGTGGCATTCGAGCTTAAATTAAACCATTAAGTTGAATTTTGGCCAGAGTTCCATGCACTAATTAGATATCACAACGTTCGCCTTTAATTTAGTTTTAAAATATCTGGAGACTTTTTGGCGGCCGCAATAGCCGAGTGGTTAGCATTACATACTGCCAGGGTTAGAGTCCTGATTCGATCAACATCTAAAATTCTAGAAAATAAGCTTTTATAATCGCAGTCGCCACTCGGAAGAAAATGTCAAGATCTCCGAGTGTATTTCTGACATTAAATAAAAGCTTCTCATAAAAATCCATCGGCCGTTCGAGAATGGGTCAGAGTAAACTGTAGAACCCTCCATATGTTGGGAAACATCAAGCCGAAAATAACTTCAACTGTAACAAACAGCCAATTATCTTATTCATCATATGGGTATCATATATATTTATGTAACATGAACCTAACAGTTAATCATTTTAGAACATAAAGTTTTTTATTCAGGATGTGGCAATAATTATACATAATTGTTATTATTCACCTCAGAATCGTGCAACCTTTTTATTTCTCTCTTTGCATCTCAGCACTGTATACACGGGCTTTGATCTCTGCTCGGAATAATGTCAGCAAATCTTGGAAATAATTAAATTTAATTGGTTTCAAGTCGAATAGCTTATGACTCTTTATTCGCGCGCAATTGATTTCTTCGTACATATGAGTAGAGAAAAAAATGTTATTATGGTGTATTTCGATAAATAAGATCTTTCGCACTTAATAAAGAAAAAACTATCAAAATCGCTACTTATAGTTATGTCCAATATACACACACACAAATAAAGTACATACACATCCTTATGTATGCACTACTCTAACTCATATAAGGCTGGCCGTTGGCTTTTCAGAGTGTATTGTAAGGTTTTCAAATATTTTGCGCCGTTAGCGATAACTTCTAATTAATATGGCTTTGTTTTAGGTTACATAAGGTTGAGTTAAGGGATAATATAAATATATGTAGGTATATATGTATATGTGCTATATCTATTAATTGTTCTTTTACATTGCACAAACAGACAAATCTTCTTCTTTGCATGGACACCGCTTACGTGTTTATAATTGAATTAACAATTTCGCGCCACAATGTTTTTTCTTTTAGCTATTCGATGCTGATTGGGTGCACCAAGTAGAGCCAGGTTATTGTCCACTTGAACTTTCCACTGTAGTGGAGGTATTCTTCTTACAATTGAATCCACCAGAGGTTATTACATCTCTAAAAGGTAGAGTATTTTCACCGTCACCAGTACTCAGAGGGATATGAATCTTCGAAAAATCTTTCTCTCTAAGACTCTCACGGCCAAACCAACGGATTGTCAACGTCTACGCTTCTGCATCATGAAGTTGGACAGGAATAATGAGCGACTTGTGGACCTTAGGCTTTGTTTGTTGAAAAAGAACTTACTTTCCAATTTGCCAACCGAGTTCAAAATAACACCTGTTAACAAGAGTGAATATGCCATCTGTCATCTTCAAGATGACAAAAATCTTGCTGCTATTGCTAGTTCCATGACAGGCGAAACCATCTAAAACTTCAATTATGCCTGTCAGCAAGGACGTGGGATCCTAGACGCTACCGCGTTGACTGTTTGTTTTATGATCGGAGATATTCCGTCTTGTACACATTCATTACCATATCTTATTGCTTCGTCATTAGAAAGCGGGGCTTCACCAGCTGCCAAGGCTTACGACTTATTGCTCTAATAAAATTATATAATATTATCTAAGAATATTAATCAATTAGCCAGTTAAATGTAGATAAATATATGGTAAATTTTAATGTCAGTACATCGATTAAAAATTAAACTTTGTTAGTAAAGATAATTTTCATATGTGAGATAACTTAAATTAATATTAAATAAACCTTCTAAGGCTAGTTTTGAAAAAAAAATTGGCTACCTTGTTTTTATGTGAAGCTTCCTTATCCGATCCCGACACAGACAAGTCGAGTGAAGGCAGTAATATCGTTCGATCGGCAGATAGGCGGAAGGTTTGGTTTTTAATCAATTATATTAATATTTGAATATTGGTGTTGCACTCTGTGCAAACAGTCTGTTTTCTGGTCTATTAGGTAGTTCTTGATGAGATCGAGAATATCCCCTTTCACAGGTTTTTGCTTTCTGATTCGCGTAATTGTTGATGTTAATGCCGGAGTGATTAGGAATCCATATAATTTTAATTTTCTTGCGGTTTTCTATTAGTTTGGTACGTATTTCCGTTATTAGAGGTGACTTGTTGGCGATATTAATAATGCCAGAGATCTTTGGCATACTGTCTGTGCAGATTATCGTCATGTTGTTCAATAGATTCTGTGGATGAATAGTTATTTGGCAGCTGTTTTAAAATCAGCTTGAACTACAGCGAATGACGTGTGGTGCTTAGATTTTGATCCATGGTTGTACTACTTTTTGCATCCGTTCCGGAAAGGTGCTCTGATATTTTATTGTACTGGTTGATTTGCCATATTTTGAATGACCGAGAAGAAATGGAGCGTAGCATAAGGGCCAAGGTGGAGACCAACGATATCAAAGTCATCTGCATACGTCAGCAGATGTACGCTCTTATTGATGATTTTACACTCTCTATCAAATTCTGCTGCTCTCTCCCGCAATAGGTTGAAGAAGCCAAACGCCTTCAAATACTGTCAGTGCTTGTGCTTTTGCGACAGTACAAACAGCTATATAAGTTTTGCGGTTATATAACTGAGTAGAGGCAGCTGCCTTTCGTGCTATGGAAGGCTGCTTTAAAATCTACGAAGAGGGCGCGTGTGCTGGTCCTTTTGTTACGGGTCTTTTAGGAAGTAATCATCTGTTTTATCGTTAATTTTCAGGCCTGTAGCCACATTGATAAAGCCCAATCAGTTTGCTAAGAAAAATTCCAAGAACAATAAATCAAAATGCGCTTGATTTATTATATTAAAAAAATAAGATAAGAAAATCACATACAAATTCTAGATATTATTATATATGCTTTGCAAAGTGAAATTCTTATTTTTTTCAGATTAATGAAATATTCCTTGAAGATTGGTAATATATAAGGTAAGTTGATAAAACTTGATACCCTTGCATCGAACATAGCCACGGTCATAAACTGGTATAAACAGCATTAATTATTATGACAAATATTATTACCATATGAAATTGATGGAAATCAAATATGATAGCTGAATTGAACTTGTTCGAAATCGCTTCTTTAATTAACTTAGATATGTCTTATGGTACTAGAACCAAGCACCCTTTTTGGTTTTTCTGCTGTTTGACGCCCGGGCTTATACACCCACTGAAAGCATTAATCATTCGCCGTCGCTTACATGCCATAAATCTTCCGCATACATCTTGAAAACTACGAATGCCGACTCATGATTTGATCATTACCATTCACGCTTCAAGCCTAATAACATATAACCGCGTTAATGAGCAGCGTAGAGCTAGGACTTAGCGGCCGAAGTGGTGGTGTGTGTTGATCATTTTTTATCGGATCTGTGGTTATTTATGGCGGACTTTATTATGGTTTACAACTCAATTCAACTATCGATTTATTTTGAACGTTTGAGCCAATCTCAATAACTTAACAAAGACATATTGTAGATATTGGTTGTGAACCATGAAACACAAAAATAGTTGAGTTAAGTAGTTAAAATGAGTTACCCAGGTGTGAATCATAATAGAGATATTAGTATTTCGGCCGAGCTCCGCCTCTAATTTGTGGTGTCTTGGTCTTGTTGTCTTTTCAACAAATGGAGGGGCCTAGAGTTAATACTAAACCTGGTGGTTGTTTTTACGAGGAGCCTTTATTTCATGTCCCAAATACGAAGTGTGACAATTAAGTAATGAGACTGATTCCATAAAAACCGTATATTTCAAAATTACTCTACAACTCTGCCATCTTCTTCAGCAGCTAATAGGTTCTTTTGGCCACCGATTTTGTTCTGGAAGACAAAAAAATTACAGTTTGACAGATCTGGTGAATAAGGCGGTTTTTGCAACACGGCGATCCCTTTAGAGGCTGCGCATTCGTATCAGTCCGCACTTCGACTGGTCTCCCGCTCCGAGCCTCGTTTTCCACGCTTTCAAGCCCCTCCTTAAACTCTTTATGCCATCGAAACACTTGGCACGACTAAGGGCACTATCACCATGCACTTTTACAATTTAAGCGAACATTTCCGAAGCTGTTTCGCCCGATTTGGCGTAAAATTTCATCGTGACGCTTTGCTTTGATTTAGGTTTTCCAGTTTCGTGCCAGACGAGCACCACGAACACTCAACACCACACTGCAGTCAAACTAACCAAGCTAGACGATTGGCAAGCATATCCATGGAGAGGAGAATAACGCCGGCAGACGGTCGTATGGTTACCAAAATCGCGACAATAGAATCAGTCTCATAACTTAATTGTGACACCTCGTACACTCGGAGTGGTGGGTATTTCATGCCGAGGGGCGACCGCAACTTAACTTAATTTTTATTTAAATTAATTCTCCATAACTTTTGGATGTGGTGGCACCGGTATATGAACCCGAGCCGTCCGAATGTCAGTACACAATGCTAACTACTCGGCTACCGCGGCCGCAACTTAAACGTTAGTTTAATCCGAAATTCAGATATGCCACGCTCAAACTGTAAAGTGCCTCTTCTCATGGACTAGGCAAATTACAATTAGGTTACAGACTTGCTGACGTTTACGCTTGGTTGGTTCTTCAGCTAAGCTATCAGCACTAGGCCAAAACTACGAGCACTGTCTAATATGCAAATTTATTATTTACAAGAAAGAACTGTATTTATTTTTTTTTTTAAACAAGATTAATCGTGGGAATGATATCGCGATTACGTATTTCGCTCTCTCAATCGTAATTCGCAGTCAAAATACATGCCCCTTATTTAATTCGCCATACAAAATGTTCGTGAGCGAAATACCGTAAAAGTGGGTAATTCGCGTTCAATTGCCATGCGAATTACGACCAAATCGATGCCTTCTCTAGGTCTTATCGAAATTTTATCGAAACCAGATGACAAGTCAAAACTAAAGGGATGAAAATCATAAAAGAACAGACAAACATTTATTTGAAACCAATTTGTATATTAAAGGAATTGGTATTACATTACTAATTCTGTTCAAGAATTTGCTAACTTCCACTAAATTCTTTAATTTTCCATGCATTTTCAAATGGGACAAACAAGTGAAACCAAAAACTGTCAAATTGTTGCCGTGTGAATGGGAGTAATTCGCATTCGTAATTAAGAGGACGAACAATGTATTTCACGATGCCGGGGAAAAGCCGTATTAGCTCTTTGAACCGCAGAGCTAAAATTTTTGCAAAATCATCCTACGACGGTAACACGTGTGTTCAAAAAATATCGCGAATTTTGAATTTTCGCGGGTTACGTATAATCGAATTTCGATTTTTTTGTGGCGTTATGTCGGTACTCATGTCTGTCACTTATGCCGACAAGTTCGGCCGTTTTGAATGTTCACTTAATTGATAAGAGCTGCTTTGCTTGCACGTGTTTTGGATGGTCCTCGATTTTTACCTATTCAAAAAAATGGAAAAGAACCTGTATCCAAATTTGTGTGAAAAACGAAATTAAGTGCGCGGATGCATTCCGAATGTTGACTGTGGCATACGGAGAAACTACCTTGGATCGAAATAACGTTTATCGATGGTACAAAATGTTCTCAGAAGGCCGAGGAGATGTGAACGACGAAGAGCGTGCCGGACGCACGAGCACTTCAACAACAGACGAAAACATCAATTGTAGGGGCGTGGTGCATCATGAGTTCTTGCCACAGGGTAGAACGGTCAATAAGGAATATTACCTGCAAGTTATGCACAGTTTGCGCGAAGCAATCCGCCAGATATGCTCGGATTTGTGGAAGAACAAAAATTGGCTTTTGCACCTCGATAACGCCCCTGCTCACACATCGTTGCTTGTGCGCGACTTTTTGGCCAAAAACAACACACTAATGATGCCGCAACCACCACATTCCCCAGATCTGGCCTCCTGTGACTTTTTCTTGTTCCCTAAACTGATTTATTTCACCATACCGATCATTCTACAAGCGTCAGCAGCACTTTTGCTTTGGTAGCAATATATCAAACAAAAGAAGGGATTGATAGACTTTTATCCATCGTAAAAAAGTACGGCAATAGCAATAATTATCTTCGGCGGATCGACCTCAACCGCAAAGTCTTTTGCTGTGCTAGTGTATGCATATACAATAAATATTTACATGGGTAAGCAGCAAACTTACATATGAACACATGTACACGTACGTAGACAATCATTACCTTGGGCACCATAGAGGTCAAGAACAGTGTAATTGTATGAACATAAGTAGTAAGTAAGCAGCGTCAAAATATATTGTGCGAATATCCATATGTTTACTTCAAATTGGCCATAAAAACAGAAATCAATATCTATTCTTTGCACATTTCTTAATTAAATTGTGTTGTTCTTTTTATAGCAATTTCCACTAACTTAGATATCTAGGTATATTCAGATTTGGCAACCATAGTCAAGTTTAAAAAGTCCTATTAAATTATTATATTGTAAGTAAGCAAGGATAAAGTCCATTGATATAAAACTGCTGTATTTCCTTCCTACACGTCTCTTTAAATTCTTAAAAATAAAAAATTCTAGAAGCTTTTATTCGTAAAAGCTGGCTCAAACGATATTGGTGACAAGCTCATTCCTTTATATCTTTACTAGCACATACACCGCTTGGACGATTATAGCCGAGTTAACAATATTGTGCCATTCATTTCTTCCTTTCGTTATTTGGTGTCAACTGGAAATATCAATTACAGCCAGGTCCTTCTCTACCTGGTCTTTATAACGAAGTGGAAGTCGTCCCCGTCTTGTGCCACCACCAGCAGGTTCTGCATCGAATACTTTCAATGATGGAATATTCATAACCATCCAGACCACATGATCTAGCCAGCGCGGTCGCTGTTTCTTGATTCGCTGAACTAGGTCAATTTTGTCATATATCTCGTTCAGCTCATCGTTTCATTCGTCAGTCGAAAGAGGACTTTACTTTTCGATTGCCTACTGAGCACAATATATTACCTGTTGGCAAGAGAGATTCTGCGTTGGATCTCAAGGCTCGCTATATTATTCGTGCTGATACTGGTTCCCAGATAGACGAAATTATCTACGACCTCGAAGTTATAACTGCCAACAGAGAAGTAGTCGCGAATGCGATGACTGTTTGGTTGATGACAGGAGATATTTCGTTAACGACCATACCTATTCCCTACACTTCTTTATCAAGTCTGGAGAAAGTAGATTGCTTTTTTTTGAAACTGGTAAGTTAAAAAAGTCCCACGATAAGGAATCACGGGTCTTTTCCCAGATTTGGCGCATGGTGAATATCGGGTAAATGGTTGTCTTGCCAGACCTGAAGTCACACTGATAAGGTTCAATCAGTTTGTTTGACGGTAGGGTTTAGTCTTTCACACAATACGCTGGAGAGGACCCTATATGCGATGTTAAGCAGGATTATTCTACAGTAATTGAGGCAGACTTTGGGATCGTTTTTTTTTTGTGGAATGGGCAGAGCCAACTTATTTTGCTAAGAAGCTGATACATGCACCGGATTAGTTCTTCACCGACGAGTAGCTCGGTCCATAATCCATCGGTCGCCTCCGCTGTTTTGGTTTTTGAGCGGGCGATTGCTATTCAGACTCCTTCATAGTCGGGACAACTTTTTCATCGTTATCAATTTGAGTTACGGGTTCACTCGCGACTGTAACAGCATACCCAGAAGCTTGGCACAAATTGGTTACTTATAATATGATAGTAAATCCTGCAGTTAGTATTATCAGTAATCATATCGATACTACATTAACTCGTATATACATATATACCTACATATGCATTTACCATTTAGGCCAATATATATATAGTTGGCGCTTTGTAACCTCTGAAGTGATTTTCGAGCGAGCTTCTCCTCTAATTTGTGGTTTTGTGTCTTGTTTTCACAACAAATAGAGGGACTTACATTTTATACTAAGACGCTTCCGAACAGCTGATGGTTTT